TATGTCATAGAATACACCAGAGTACTGTTACTTTAAGTGAATGATTAGCTTTGTCATACATCATTCCATTTCAGTCTAACAAAACAGTTGAATTGCTATTCCACATATTGGGCAATGATAATATGTCATCAGATTGGAAAAAATGACTTGCATATCATATATATTTTTTCTTTTTTATTTGTCAAAAAAAAAAAGTTCTGTTTAAAGGACCTATATTACATAAAATGTACGTTTGTGAGCTTTTAGCCATGTTAGAATGTTGTTACCTCCTCAAAAACATACCTGGAGTTTTGTGTTGTTTCAATCACACATGTTTGAGTATGGCTTTATCATTAGTCTGTTTACATCTCCATAGCTCAAAATGCTCTGTTCCACCTTGTGATGTCATGAAGTGGTAGTTTTCAAGTTATCAGGTATCTTTTACCTTTTATTCAGTAGAGATCTACAGTTCCAGGGCTAAAATGAAAACACGGCTCCAAGTATGTTGGTGGTGATGATTAGGCATGTAACAATAACCAAAATATTGTGATACTGTATTGTCAAAGTTCTCACAATAATATTGTGGACCATCACAATATATCGAATTACAAGTCTCTTTCCTTAAATTAAGAGTTATAGTGCAGCAATAGCTAAAAAAAACACAGAAGGAACTACACAGAGGGAACTACATAGACCGTGATCCTTTGCTCCATTTCAGTGTAGATTACAAGAAGAAATAACTAAAACTTAAAAGTGCTTAAAACTGTTAAGTTTTAGTTCTTTGGGTTAAGTCTTGTCAAGGGAAACAGTATCATATTAACAGTTTTGTTAGCCTCCACAAAATATTGCAATAAATATCGTACCATGAGATGCAGATTGTGAAAATATTGTACAGAGAGATTTGGATATCGTTACATCCCTAATCATAAGCCTCTCCACCATATCATGAGCTTTCCCATGATATCGCAATAAATATCGTACCATGAGGCTCATACCGTGACGATATCGTATCGTGAGACTTGGATATCGTTACACCCGTAGTGATGATGTTGTTACCACTGTAAATAATACTCACCGTTTGTGAGTTAGACAGAGTGAGGAAGTCTTTCCATTTTTGATCTGGACGAGCATTACGCACGGCCTCTCCAATGCACCTGGCTTCAGAAATACAATGTGTGAAGCAGCCTCTTTATCTTATGTTTGTAAAGAGGAGATAAATATACATAGATCAGAAAATAGCATAATATGGGCCCTTTAATGTTGTGCATATGGTTTTCAAGATGCCATACCTGTGGGTTATCAGTGGTGACAATGAACATTCTCTGAGTCTTAACATGCTCACAGTGGGAGATGTTGTCCAGACAGGCATCAAGCTACTAATTTGTGATGTAAACTAATTAAGCAGCCTTATTTTTCTCAATTTATTTCAATTTATTTATTTAATCTTATTTCTCAATTGTACATTATAAACATGTTGAGTTGTGTTTGTTTCACACATTTCAGGAACCATGCATACTCACTCAATTTCCCTGCAGAGCTCCACTGGTATAGATCAGCATGTTATAAAATTCCATGATGCTTCTTCATGTTTTAAGGCCATACACATTCACCACACTTGTAATAGTTTCAGTTCAGTAATTCTCTCCTCTGCGAACTGAGCATATTTATTGTTAGTACACATATTTTTTTAGCCTGTTACAAACTTTTTCATTATGTCCTTTCATTACATTTGCATCTTAATTCTGTTCATCACAACTAAAGTTTGCATGTATTTACTTCTTGACACATACATTATTCCTTTTCTGGAAATATCAAGGATAGGTTTCCAAGGTAGCTAAAGGTGCACTATGTAACTTTTCCAGTGAGGTTCCACCACTATGCCTGGAATGTTTCACAGTATAACTTGTCTATCATGCATTTATTTGATAACAGGTGTTTTTAAATACCTTGGAAAAACATGCATTGTTACTGTGAGTGGGTCGCTTCTCCACAGATCTGACATCTGCATGAAAATAAAGTTTTAAAACCAATCTATTCATGGGACATAGAGTATCCCATGCAAAGCTACAGTCTCCAAGGAAACAAGCAGGTGGCGTAGCCTCACCCAGAAAAGTTACAGCATCCACCTTTAAAAAGTCTGAATGTAGCACAATTTTAATCAGAGCACAAACTTAAGAAAGTGCATCAGTAAGTTCCCATTCAGTTTCATTGTGAGCCCCAGTGGTGTCTGGTCTGCAGCTCCCTCTATTCATCCCTCTTCCGTTTGGCTGTCTTGGTCTGAACAGATGAAATGGCCATCAAGGCTCATGCTCTGTGTGTTATTTTTCATCAGCGCAGACTTTGTTCTCCGTCTTTGGGAGGATAGGGTTAAAAGTGGTCTGATTTGCCAGGCGAGCTGAGCTGTAATTGGTTCCACTGGATTTTTGTGGCAAGAGCTATCAAAAGTGTGTGTATGAGGAAGTGTGTCTTTGTGTATCTGTGTACAAACTGTGTGCTTTCTTCTTGTGTATCACTATTCCCCGTGTGTATAGTTTAAAACGATGTTTCCTTCGAATGTGTGAAAGTATAATTTATGCCTGTGTTTGTGCCTATGTAAATGTATGCGTTTTAACGGTTGTCCTTGTGTTCCTGTAAAAGTGAGAGGAGGGAGGCGCTGTGCTGTAGCGGTGTGTGACAATAACAATAAATAATGTCCTAGCTTGACCTCGGATTCAGCTGTAAATGTGCAAGCTCCTGATTGGCTGCCACGCCCCCGGGATGAGGCAGAACATTGCATTTTATACATGACTCTGGTGTGAATTAAGAAAAGTGGTATTTGAAGGAAAAACTGTTTGCAGACTCCAGTTGAACCAAATGCGCAGGTGCTCTGAGGAAAATGGGAATAGGTCTATCAAAGCTTAATCTTCCTGCTGTTGATGAAAAAGTCCACAAAGTTAACTGTGAAAATTGGAACCTGACCTTTTTATGGACCAGCTGCCGTAGTTGTGGATATGCCCTTTGCTAATGCTGTATCCTTGGGCTAAGTTTTGGTTATGTTCCAAGTATAGATTGGTTCCAAAACTCTGGGTTGGAATCCAAAAGTGGGTCTCTGGGAAATTTATGGAATTGCCTTGAGTTTTGATAAGTTCAGAACTGAAGTGGATTTAAGGGACACACTTATTGTTAGTATTGCATTTTTAGAGATCAGAAACTTGTGGGGTGTAGTCCTTTTGTCGTTTAGTTAAATAATCAGTCGATGGTGTCTTAGTTGACTAAAATTTGTGTGTTAGTAGACTTACCATTTTATTCAGCTGCATTCATATGAGATAGCAGCAGGAAGAAGTGAGTGAGTTATCTGAAGAAGGTCTAGTTTTTGGTATTTATAAAAAGGCAGATTAAACTCATGATTCACAAGTTTAATCTGTCTTTATTTAAAACCACTCTTTTCCTAGTAGTACTTTTTAAAACACAGATAGTTGTTTTTGCATGAACTCCCGCTTGCAGTTATAGCTTTGTGAGTGCAGTTTGAGTCAGATATATAGAGATACATAGTAGTTTTGAGAGTTTATGCCACACCCACTTTTTAGTTGACTAATCTATCGGCAGGCGATGTCTTTAGTCCACCAAAAACATCTTTAGTTGAGTATAGCCCTAGAGACTTGTCATACCTATACAGAAGCAAATTAGCTAAACTAGAAATAATCCTTGGTCAATTCAGTCTCTTATTGGATCATAGTATTAACCAGTAGTAACAATATCTATAGTTTGCTTGACAAATACGTATAGTTAACTTAAAAGTGTTCAAAGTAACTTAATAAACCAACAACTACTACCAAAAGTGCATTCCTGCCAGTCACTTCTTTCCTTTTAACCACCTTAAAATCTTTCAGCTGATTAAGGAAAGGCGAACAACAATAACAGCACCTGATTAAATTAATTTGACAACATTCCTTGAAAATTGTTGTTGCTTGAAGAAAGTGTGCCTGCAGGTTTCATTTGGCACAATATAAAAACGGTAGGAAAATTGTTGTAATCAATTGTGCATCTGTGCTTTTTGTGGGCTGCTTTGGCCTTGAGTATATTTAGGCTTTTTTTTTTTTTTTTTTTTTTGCATGGGGCAACTGAAGTGCCACATGTGCAGGGTTAATGAATCCAGAGACACTTCATGTTTGTGTGTTTGGTACTGATATAAAATGGTACACTCTAAGGTTGTGAAATATACCCAAATATGACCAAAACTGAGAACTAGAATTGAAACTAGTTACTAATTTGAGGTGAATAGATACTGGGAAAAATACATAAATATGTCAAAGTTGTAGTTGGAGCATTCCTGTATAGTTCTTAAATGTGAAAGGTCTTTATCAAAACCAGTACGATCACATAAAAATTCTATTACATTGTATTACATTACACTACATTACAGTCATCATTTTGGTATCAGAATTTTCCATAGTGTTTTGTTTGAAATTTTAATGTCGCTGTCCTGTTTAGTCAAATGTAGAGTTCTGGAGGTGAGTCTTTCCTCTCGTTCCAAATTTGTCATGTTTTGTTACCCACAGGATTTGTCGATGCAATGAAAACCACATGATAAATAGCATGGGCGGATTACTGTCACCTCCCTCCAATGACATTCTCTCTCCTTGTCTCTGTCCCAAGTTTGTTTACATTTAATTTCTCACAGCCGTTCATAGTGTGTCCTGAGGAAATGGCAAAAAGTCAAGTTACAACAATACAGCTGCAGGAGACGACCCAGAAAACAAGCAGAGAAGTCCTGTAGCTCCTCCGTTTAGGCAAAACAGATTACGCCTGTCCTCTGATTTATAAAAACAGGACATTTTCTATCCCCCAATTCTACCTTCTTTGTTGTTCAAAGAAACGATCAGAGGGAAGCTTGGATAGCGTCCAGGCCTTTGACTGCCAGTCCCCCTGATTTGTAATCCAGCGATGACTTACTGAGGGGCTGTTGCATTACTGGGTTACTTCTTTCAGTGCTAGTGCCTTTCATGACTTATTCCTAGGCTATTCATCAATGTTTGAATGAACAGCTCTTCAGATAACTTTGGCGACCATAGCCGCCTTTTTCATTTTTTTAAATTTACAGTAGGATAAACTAAAACGAAAATTCCATTTTGAAGTTATTATACTACCTTAGTTATTATACTACCTTTGTTTAAAATATAATTTGAACAAATAGTACTGGGATATTATTGTCAGTTCCTTTTATTTTAGCAAACTACTGTCTTTTACGTTTATGTTTGTTATTTGTGCAGCATTAAGGAAGAAACCTATTATGTATGATAAGAGCTTCTTTCGTTAAAGGGAGGACATAAAGATTTTGTTTATCTGTGTCTCTAGATATGAGCTAGACATGTTCCAACTGATGCTTTATTCTTAATTACAATTTTTATGGACATGACGGTCAAGTATTTTATGTTGTCATTTGGTGTTTTGTTCCTCAATGCAATGATTCATTCAGAAATCAGAATGAGCCTCACGTGAGGGTCTAATTTTTGTTGCCAGTTGGAATTAAACCTAAAAGGCCTCTAAAAACTCACTGCCAGAACTCCAGCTGCAGCCAGTCATGAATGAGTGCTAGTGCAGCCTCTGCAGCTCAGTGAGTGAACTCAGGCGGTTCTCAGCTTTTACATGGCCATATACTGAGAACGAGAAAAACTTTTATATCCTTTTAAGTAAGAGCACAGGTTACATACCCTTCTTTTAACCTTTCTAAATTGTTGTACAACTCTCTGTCTAATAATCACTAATCACTTTATACACCCTTGTATTTAATTCGCTTCTGTTTCCAAAATCATCTTGAATTGGAATAATTTGTAGTATTTTGTTTGACTAATATGCCTGTAAAAAAGTTGAAGAGAGGGTTAAATGTCCCATTGCGGCTCAGGTCAAACATTGCGTTTGAGAATAAAATGATGAGGTCATCAGCAGAAGATGGAGAGTGTGATCGCCGTAGTTACATCTCTCTCCGTCCGGCTCCTCCCTGCAGCACTTGCATTTTTCATCTCCACACAATTCAAACCAATGAGCTGTAGCATGGGCCCATTGCTCCGCACATCACAGCACCTACACACACACACACGCACGCAATGGGTACGCATAGGGCAATGACACCACTCCGCCACGCTTTCTCATCTATTCCACTGCCTTTTCCTTAATATTTCACCAGCCAATTATTATTTTATGCCCCCTCTTAATGTGCCTCTGGTAAGTTGTCTCACAGATGAACGGGCAAATGCATGAACAAAAGCCATAAGAAAGAGGAAAGAAGGGCAGAAAGGATTGTTTAAATGTTTGTTTGGAGGTGTTCAAATAAATGCCAGCGTGCCCAGACATGCCAGCACATTTATTGGATGTGGGGCGGAAGTGTGCCACAGGCTCGACAGCAGACCGATAGAAGGATCTCTCTCCCAATCACTCCCAGACTCACATCTGGATCAGTTTGAGAGGATCCACCGCCAGAGGAAAACATGCATCTGCTTCAACTGCCACTTCCATCACAGCAAACTGAGAAAACAACTTTGAACTCATGAAAAATATTGGGTTTAGTAAATAAACTACAAGACATGGGAAAGCAGTAGATGCAGTATAAGTCAGAAATGTTGTGTTTTTGGGTAGGGTTGTCCAAAAGAATTATAGCTGGAAAGTGTTTGATACTTATCTTCTTGATATCTTCTTGAATAGTTTTAGAATGATCTTGAACCTTTCCAAAACTATATGGCAATTTTAAAGTAACTATACTGTTGAAAATATGGCATCATGTTTGGAAAAAAAAGAAAAATTTTCATTGTGGTATTAAAATTGGTAGTGAGTATCAAGTCTTTTCCTTAAAACGGAAAGCGTGTTTGAAATTTCAGAATTGGGACAACGCATGTGTTATTGCTAAATTGCAGTTGCCATGTTAAAAATTGCCTGTGGTCTGTGCATAAATAAAAAGTTGGATCATGTTTTGGAAAGGTTTAATATGGTTTGGCCCTGGACTCGTGATTGAGCCCTTATTTAATCGGGATTTAGCCAAAGCAGCAGCCTTCTGTTTCTCTTCATATCATAGATGAGACTGATTCAGTGTGTTACAAATAGCACATAATATTCTGTCTATATTTAACTTTTGTCTGGCTGTTTCATGTAAACTCAAACCTACTTTAGCATGTACTAAAAGTGGCCTCCCCATGTCCCGGCAGTGCTAAATATCAAATGTTATGAAGCGACAGACAGGTGATGGTTACAGTGGGTGCGCTCGGCTCTGGTCCTGTTATGTGATCCGCCTCACCCCTCGCTCCCTCAGATAATCCCTTCCTAATTCCCTGTGCGCCCTGTGCCAGCTTCGTCCAAATTGTGATTGACTTCTGTCCCACACCGCGACACCCCTCTCTTGCCCCCCTCTCCACCGGCTCCTCTCCTGCTTCTAGATTAACTGGATCAGTTTTGGGTTTCAGCGCGGTGCTGTTGTATTTCTCACTCATAGATCCACACACATAAACACATAGATAGGTTGTTTTTTGGCCCGTTTGACTATCAGACCCCTAACAGTCTGCGTCGCCATCTGTCACAGCACTATCCATACATATACATACACTCACATAACAACTGTTGGTACATGCGGCTTTACGGATGCCTCTGTATGTAAACAGGGCTGTCCATATTGTTAAATTTACACACTGTTCCTTACATTTCCACTGGGTCTTCTCCTAATACAAATAAGAAGGAACTAATTTGACTTTCCACACTAGTCTTTTGATTCTGACAGGCAGGGCTCAGCGCAGGCACAAAATCATTCTGCCATCGCCTCAGGAGCTTCTTACTTTTTTTTTTTTTTTTTTTGTATTTTTCATTTCCTTCTTGCTCATATGGAATAAAAAGTTTCATTGCTCCAGGCTTGTGGGATCTTTTTAGTAAGGTACAAGCCGAAAATCAAAAATAAGACATTTTGTCCGACAGTTGATAGAAATGAAGCAGCGTTCTATCAGTGGTATGTTCACAGACGCATTTGGACTCTCATATCTGGTCTAATCCTGATTTGTGACTATGGGCTTTGTTAGATGACTTAGTGTTGCTGATGTAACGCGCCCGCAGCACTTTGTTTGTGAGAGTTGCTGGCAGCAGATGGTGGAGTGCTATTACCACAGAGCAGTGGACACTGGAGAGACGAACTGTGTTGACTGCAGCAGATCTTCAGCCTCCTCCCTCAGTGTCAGACGATGAACGACCCACTCTTTTCTCTCTCTCGTCCTCCCCCTCTCTCTCTCTCTCTCTGTCTCTCTCTCTCTCCAGACACTCTTTCATCATCTGTCTCTCTCTCTCTCTCTGTCTCTCTTTCTCTCTGTCTCTCTCTCTCTCTCTCTCTCTCTCTCTCTCTCTCTCTCTCTCTCTCTCTCTCTCTCTCTCTCTCTCTCTCTCTCTCTCTCTCCAGACACTCTTTCATCATCTGTCTCTCTCTGTGCCTCTCATTTCTCTGTATGGGTGTCAGTGTTGTCCATCACTGCCGTCACACAGCAGTCATCACACACTCAGATCTATGGGTGTGTATTTATCACATTGCGAGGACTAAAATCTATGTACACAATCAAATTATGTTTCCTTATGTCGATAAAACTCATCCGTAATTATTACGACCTGATTTGAAGTTCAGTTATACATTAAAATATGTCAAAGTTAGGGTTAGAGCATTAAAGTTAAGATCAGTGTCTTGGAAATGAGTGGAAGTCAGTGTAATGTCCCCAAGAAGCATGTGAACCCAACATGTTGTGTGTGTGGTTGTGTGTTTGTTTTCAGTCTGGTCTGTGTGCGTAGCGGCGAATACCCGATCTTTATCTCCCTCATGCCCCCCACCCCTACCCCCCACGTCAGCGCTGCGTGTGAATCAAGGTCAGTGGGGATCTGTTGGCAGTCACCCCGCCTGAAGCCCCTCCTCCCTCTCCCACCCCCCTCCTCCCCCCAAAGGATGGACACAACATGCACATGCAGCCATCTCCATGTACCCACTACAGCTCACTTTAGCTCGGTGAGTTTCAGCGGATTAATTACTGAGGAAGCCAGCGCGTCTCTGACCTCCTCTGTTGGACTAATTGAAATCTAATTGAATTGTGCTTGTCTAGACTAATGAAACCCCACTGCTGAAGCCGACAATCTTTTAGCCATAGCTACAAGCCAGTAACCACCCAGTACAGTACTGGCTGCATGGTGTGGCACTGCTTGGTAACTTTGGAGACTGAATCAGTGGGCACACAGCACTGAAATACTGTCTACATAACACAAGACTTAGACTAACTTTATTGATCAACAAGGGAAACATTTTGGTCACATTAGCTCATACATCACAATATAAGATACTAACAAAGAGCAAAAATATAAATGATAATAATAAAGTCATAGTCAAGGCAGTTTACTTAAACTCACAGATTATTTGATTCAAAAAGGTTTCATTTTAATGTAATGTAATGTAATTTAATGTAATGTATAATGAACGTAAAAAGGAGACGTCAATACAATGTTTGAGGGTTTGCCACTTGTCTCCATGATGTTATTGTTCTGCTGTAATGCTGTACAAAAGCATGGGTCATCTCTCCATAGATCTGTCCTGTAACTTAACTTGGTGTCATCTTCTTGTCTCCATTGAGATAAATAAGTTGGAAGTACTGTATATTGTACCTGGCAATGAAATAACATCTCTATGGAGAAGCAGGTTGTGGACCTCACACATTTGTTTCACATGTTTAAAACACAAATCCTGCATATTTAGGCTAAGTTCCCCCTCAAACAGAAAACACTGTTTCACCTTGTGATGTCATGTGGTAATACAAGTGCTCCACTGTCATTTTAAACTACGCCTTCATGAGAATCATTTGGATAATTTCATCCATGGAATCGCCCTTCTTAACTGAACCAAAAGTAAAAACAGCTGCTAACTTGAAAACTACCACATGACACATGACACAGAGCATTATGAGCTTTGGTGATAGGCTAATAATAAAGGATTACTCAAACATGTTTGAATGAAACAAAACACAATCCGTGTATGTTTTTAAGGAGGTAACAACAACATTTTAACATGGCTTAAAGCTCATAAGAGTACATTTTGTGTAATATAGAACCTTGAAATATTTACTTGCTAATTTGATGCTGGATAGCTGGAAATGTGCTGTTAATAAGGGCAATTTTCTATTATTATTGTTGTTATTATTAACCAGTGCACCATGACTGAGCAGAGGCTGTATTCCACTGCTGAGCTCTGGCTTGTGGAAACTCATCGGTGTGTGACAGGCCTCTTCATGAGTCCTGCAGTGCTCCATCAATTAGACCACAAGCAAATAGGCAAATGCTGCTCTTCTTCTAAATAAAGTGATCCTCTGGGACTTTTGAGACATACTCTAGATTTCACTCCCTGTAAACATCAACAAACAACCGCAGTGGCCTTGTTTCCTGACTTCACACTGAGCAGAGAGCGCTGAGGAGGGGAGTGGGGCACCCATGGGAGAAGCTTGTTTTTATAGGTCTTCTGTAGCTTGTAGCAGGTGAGAAACATAACTATTCTCTTAAGGTTAGTAATTTGATGTTCCCTTTATTCTTTGTAGAATATATTACTTTGCTAGGCAAGGAGGATGCTGCCATGAGAGAGGCTGAGGAAAGGAGAGTGGTAATTAGATAGACATGGGGACATGGTTTTGTGTGGCAGCAATAAATGATCTTTACAACTGGTTTGACCCCGATTTGGTCCTGATAGACAAGGTTTAGTCCTAGTTTAGTCCAGGTTTTGTTCCAGGTTTTGTCCCAGTTTCATACCAATGTTGATTAGGCATCTCACAATAACAGATATATTTCTGAATAAACTATAGATAAAAACCATCATATTAAATGGCTCTGACACAATAACCCTAAAGCTGGATTTCCTCCAAAAAACTGAATATAATGAACATGAGCTGCTATAAATAAATAAAACTTAATGAGTCATAGAAGTTATTAATTCAACCCTCTTCAAAAAAAAAAAAAAATAACAAAAAGTTCCCCTCCAGTACAAGAAAAAGTACCCATAATAAATATTGACCCCCAAAAATAATTGTTCCATCTATCATGTATTGAACAACAAGTCAACAGAGTAATTATTGTGACAAGAGTAACGCTGATGTGGTGTGTGCATGTGTGAAGTCACCACATCTCATCCGCCACTCCTGCTTTCAAGTACAGATACAGCTTTTCACACTGTATTCATGGGTTTCTGCTTTCTCTTTAAAGGTGATAACTTGAAGACTTTACCCATTTACAATATTTGCTATGGCAACAGTACTAGATTTTCATCTCTCTGAAATGGATAGCACATGTATATCTATATTATACTAAACTTGTCTGTGTATGTTTTTACAGGTCCCCTTGCAACCTGGCCAGTCCTTTAAATTCACTGTCCTGGAGACACTGGACAGGATCAAGGAGGAGTTTCAGTTTCTTCAGGCTCAGTATCACAGGTAAAAGCGTTTCAAGTTTAGATCAATACAGCTAAAACAAAACTAGAGGAAAGGTGTTAATACAGGTTTTGTGTTGCTTTCTGTAATGTTTCCATCAACAATAATAGTGCTGGGTTTGGAATTAGTGATCAAAGGGATCTAGGGTTGCTGTTTCATGCAAGAATAAATATTTATAATGTAAGACTAAATCATTTCTGACTATTGCTTTTGTTAATCAAACTCCAATATGTTATGAACTGTATGAATATAATTATTATCTCTTTACTTTAACACTGACAATAACAGTGTTCATATGGCGCCTAAGCATCCCCTAGGATTAACCATCTCTACTAATGTCTGGCACATAGCTATTGTAACTGCAAAGCATAACTGGAAAGTGGCCATCATGTGAAACATTACGTGTCGATTCATTGAGCTCATCTTTGTGTGTACGGACATCCTACACTTACAATAGAGGACACAATGGAGTACAACAGTAAATATATACAACTCCTTTTCGTATTTCCACACAATGTTAAACTGCATTTGACCTCAGCAGTAGTGACAGTAGGCTAGAAATTATAATTTAATTCAGTGGATGCAAATAGGCCATTTTAATATGTGTCCCCTGTGCCTACTGCAGCCTGAAGCTGGAATGTGAGAAACTGGCCAGTGAGAAGACGGAGATGCAGCGCCACTACATCATGGTGAGTCCAATCAGGCCTTTCCCTTTTCCTAACTCTGATTTAGAGCTCCCCTCAGAGCTCAGAGGCTGTGACCGCTCTGACGGGCTCCTCTGTTCATATTACAACCAAACCAGCTGTGCATGGGTCCTGGATGTATTATGCTGTATTTACATCACTCACTTAACAGCTATTTTTACCTAAGCTCCAGTTTTAGTGTTAATATTTTTTATTATTAATGTTTTTGTCATCTTATCAGCTCGATACATTGTCTTGAAGAACATGGTTTTACATTTTATAATAAAAGAGATTGAAATTTCTTCAGCACAGCAGCAAACCCCTTGTTCTGGTATTTGATTGTTCTACTAGTAACAACACTGTCAATAGTTCCTTTTTATTGCAAGAAATATGAAAGAATTACATTTTAAGCTTAGTCCTCACAGTTAAGAATAAACTGCTTTTGCATCAGTTTGGGCTTGATGCTGATATCTCTGGTGATGGTTATTAATTAATAATGACAGCCCAATGAGTTTTTTTTTTTTTACAGTACTGTTTTTTTACTTTCTCTTTTACATCTCTCTGTCCATGTTCAGCCCTGCGCTGGTTCATCTGTTCCTAGTTTTTTTTCTCTAACAGCCCTGAGCTCCCTGTGTGTCTGTGCGACTAAAGGCGCACATGTATCGTAAGCCTTCGTCTGTGCTACACAAACCCACCGCGAGCCGACCAGAATACGATATGCACCATCTGCTAAGCTGCTAGCATTTCATAAACCTGGAGAGTGGTCAGGATCAGGGCTGTGAGCACCGCAGACACACAGACGGAGGCAGAGTACGGAGAAGAGGGGACGCAAAAGCCCACAGATAAAATAATGCCAGCACACAAGAGCTGGAGACTGTTTATATGCAGCAGAGAGCAGGGAAATGCATACAGCAGGTGCGCAGACCTAACGCTTCCACATCTTTATTTTACTTTCTTAAAAAACAACATGACTCAACCAAGGAGGGTTTTCACATGCACAGAGAGAAGCTGTAGAGATAGCTTTAGCCTTTTATACAGATAAAGATGTAACTGGTGATCAGTTATTCTGCTACTGAACATATGCTTATGCAGTGGAACTTAGCTGATGATGCTATTTTATTTGTATTGTATTTGTTCACTTTTTAGGTTACTTTCAAGATTTAAATCGAAAGTAAAGTTCCTAATGAATGATTTCAGGCATTTTTGGGGCCTTTAATTCATATATGGTAATATAATTCTTTATCCCGTAGTCCCAATTATACACTATTTGAAAACAACAATTTCTCAGTCTTTCTTGCATTTCCCAACATCCCATAACTGGTGGTTTTTAAAGTACATTTAAACTTCATTGACTTTTCAAAGAGAAAACACAAGATTCTGCTTGCACACAAAGTATAGTACAGTGAGAACCACACACAAAGAAAAGACGCCTCAGACGCCTTCGTACACCCACTTTCCTAATCTCTCCGGCACTCCCAGTTTTAGCTGCGGTTTTCTACAATAACTGTGCAGTAAACACCTCTTACACAATGCCAGCATCCTGCCTGACTCTACCTTTTTTGCATAGACAGGGCCATAGATGACATTTGAGTGAACTTTGTGCATATTAAATGTCATGGCCTTTGTGACCAGTGGTGAACTACAGAGAGGCAGAGATAACACCAGAATCCTGCACTACGTTCTAGTCTTTTTAACAGCTCCCTTTGGCAGTGAGTGGGCTTTGAGGTCAGAGAGGGGTCCATGTGGTGTGTACACTCATCCATACATGCACACATATAGGCTACGACTGCAGGCTCTAATACTTGAACTGGATCTCTGCTCTGGAAGTGTGGCCCTAGCACTGAGAAGAGAGAGAGAAAATGAGAGGGAACGATAGCTCAGAGAGAAAGAGAGAGAGAGAGAGAAAGAGAGGCAGAGAGAAGAGAAAGAGAGAGAGAAAAAAAAGAAAACCACTCATGAGGGAGGAAGGGCACAAAGGAGGCTGAGGGAATAAAATAGCAGTGAAGGAAGGAAGAAGAGTACAGAGGGGAGAGGATGGGAGGATGAATCTAACAGACAGAGAGAGAGGGAGTGATAGTGATGTGTTTTTTGGAAAAGGATGGTGGTGGGGGTGATGCAAAAGAAAGGGATGAAGGGAAAGAGGGCGCACTCACAGACACGTAAATAATGTGAAGCAACAACGGCCTGGCTGTGCCCACAGAGGAGATAACCCAGAAGGCTATATTTAGCTTGTTAGCCCTGGTACACACACACACGCACGCACACACACACACACACACACACACACACACACACACACACACACACACACACACACACACACACACACACACACACACACACACACACACACACACACACACACACACACACACACACACACACACACACACACAAACACAAACACACATACACACATACACACACTATAAGGCCTGTTTCCACCACGCTGCATCACTGTGTTTCTATTCTGCACCTTTAAATACTGCACTCAGGGCTGCACCTCTTGCCCAAACCATGATATGAGAACATATAAAAGGAAATACAGATTAGAAACCATGAACACAGTAGTAAGTAAAAATAATCAATTTTATTATCAATTATCATGTGTTGCTGTTTTAAGAAGTCTTTGTTGAATTTTAATTATGTTAACACTGACTACAGAGAAAGTCCTTTGTGAATTCCAGATGTTAGTTCACAGTTATGGATTAATCTTATTATTGACAGTTTTATTTTCCACACGTGAGAATGAGTTGTGGAGTTTTCTTTGTGTCACCAAACTTGTCAATGTCGCTGAGACTTTTTCATTGGCAGTGGGCACACTTTACAATTTTCATGCTTTAGAGACATGTTGCAATAGCCCTCTTAAATTGCAGCTGTCTGTGGCGTATGGAGCCAGCTTTTGGATATTGTGTGTTGGATCTTTGGCAGCTCCAATGTGTGTTGCTGCTTTTTGGATGGAAGACATGTTTTGTGTTGGCTGCTTTAATAGACTCATGGTTCATTGTGAGCTGTGGAGAGCATGAGCGAGACATTGGCATCTTTAGGGGGGAAGCTGCCATCTTGATTTTAGTTGGTGTTTATACTTCTGATAGGTTAGGTTTCTTAGGGCAATAAGACATTTATAACAGTTTCTTTTCCTCAAACTGATTGATTACAGCTTCAATTTTATTTTGTCGTTTTCTGAACATAAACAATAGACTTTTAGTAATTACTGTTTAAAACAAAAATGTCAGAATACTGCTCCAAATCACAGCTTTTACTGATATATAATTGCTATAGACCTCTTGAAAATACCCAAGCATATTATTGATGAAACATAAAAGCATAGAAAGCATAGAAATAACGTATTCTGGATGTTGATTAAAAGTTGATGAATTGCCCTGCCCTGTGATTTCTCCTCATACTCCTCAGTGTATTTTTAAATAAAGGGCTGTTGATTGTTAGCCTCAGTAATAAGAGTGTGTGGATGTGTAGGTTGTATAAAGGACCTTCCCTGCAGAGCGGCGTTCACCTCTGGCGGTCTGGGAGATAAGCAGGGGAGCACCAGAGTGTGAATGAAAGAGAGATGGAGCCGTCTTGCATCATAAAACTCCCCAAAATCTTTGGCTTATTCAAACAGACCTTTTGGACAAAAGGCTTTACTGCTGAGCTATAAAGTAAAAATTATCTTTACTAAAGTGGACATGTTATACATAGTGATTTTGTAACACGGTCGTTGGCATCTTCATATCAGTATATCACAGTCCAGGGTTTTCAGTGGCAGGAAAATTTTGTACTGTTGCCATAGCAATTAGCAATTCAACAGGAAACAGGAAGTTGAAACGCAGAACAAGAGTTGAAACTCATGAGCAGTGATTGCAGTTGAAAGCTGAAAGTGAAAGACAAGTTGTGTTCAAGGTGTGAAATATATGCTTTCCATTTCAGTAGCCTACTAACCAGCTGACCTTTCATAAGTTTCACACATGGTGATTGTCTAAAGGTAGTCTAAAGAGTCTAAAGTCTAAAGCCTTACTGATAGTATTGCTGGTTGATTGAATTTTTAAGGAAGTCAGTGATGGTCCAAGAAAGATAAAGTTCTTGTTTTATATTGCTGTGTCTGATAGATGGAGCCTTTACTCCTGAACTAAGATCCTGCTGTGATAGTTTTCAATGGAACACCTGGTATAATCTTTAATATGTATGTTTCATTTCAGCTGTCACTCCGGGTCCTCAATAATTTCTCAGTGCGATTAAATGTTCTCAGAAACCCATTTTATTTCTATCAATGTCCGGGCTGTCAGACAGAAGACAGAACCACAGGAAGCGACGCGCCCACCCCTTTAATATAGAGTCCAAAGAAGACGTGTGCTGAAGGGTGACAGCTCCCAGCCGGGGGCACATCAGGTGGCCTGTGTGTGTGTGTGTGTCTGTGTGTGTGTGTGTCTGTGCGTGTGTGTCTGTGGGTGTGTTTGTGTGTATCTGTGTGTTTAAGAGAGGTGCACACTCGCGGCAGGGACTCTGGTCTTAATGAAGGGACGAGCTGCTGTGAAAGACGAAATATTGTTGCACTAAGCGTCAGCATAAGAAGAGGCATTAAGTGTGATATGTAGCACTTGCTTTGTTGGTTATATTTGTGGAAACAGAACTGTTGGTGATTTGAAAAGCTTTCTTTTCAAATGTTGTCTTTCACGTGTTCAAGATGCTTTGTATCTAAGAGTTTCATTTATTTAACTGACCTTGTAATGCCTTAAAAGTGGTTAAGAGTCAGCTCCATAATTCAGTAATATGTCTCACTCCTCTAATTATTTAGGGAACTTTACTTTTATGAAGATGGCTGTGGTTAGCTTTAGGCCAAACAGGGGGGAACTGCATCTCCTACCTAATTATAGCTTTAGGGTCATAGTTTCAAGATTAAACTATTCCCAATGCAGAATACTGTATATATGCCCCTTGACTTATTAGAGGAAAACATGTTATATGAATTTATGCTTGCAGCCTATATTCTTACAGCTCAATCAATAATA